CACTACCATACTTATGTGGACCATATCATTTTCCTCTAGTCTACTCAAACATATACACTCATACCTATGTAAACCATTTTAATCTCCTGTAATTCACTCCAACATACACGCTCATAAAGATATTAATTCCCTCTAGTCTTATAGGGTATCTATCCTACAATTTTTTTATATCTTTTATTCATATCTAATCCCATAAAAATTTAACCTATTTATAAGTATACAAACTTGCTTATTAAGAATTTCTTTCCTATTAAAATTCTTCTTTTATAAATCTTTTTATTCATCAAGTAATATTTAATCAATCTCAAATAAATCTCTTATAAGCTTTGAGTCACTGTTCCTAATAATCTCCACCTTAATTCAAATTCTATCAAATTATCTGTCTTCATGTTAGATATGCTTGGCTCCATCTGCAATGAAAGTTTCATAATTATCTTCTCTTATGTTTCTTAATGCTTCATATAAATCAATCATCAATCTTCAAAATATGAACTCAAACTCTTCTCTTGAATCGAGCTCATTTAGGTTTACCTCTTTCCATGTCTAAAAGCATACTACTTGTTAGGCAAAAAGACTCTAATCAATTGAATATTTACAACAGTAGAAGCAAAATTAAATAATCAATTAATCACATAAGAGATAGTAATTTAACGTAATTCGATTCAACTGATCTATGTCTATAAATGAAAAAAAAAATCTATTAATTATAGAGAATTATAAATATATATCAAATTAAATTAAACACTCACAATTAATATTTATAGACCCTCTCAATCACCTCTAATTTTATAAAATATTTTTAAACTAAACAAACACTACCTATGCGTACTCATACACGATAAAGATGTTTAAAAACTGGCAAATGGAGTAAACTTTGGAGAAGCCTGTCTATTCTTGCTTCCTAACTTTTAATATAAAATAAGAACCTTTTACATTACACACCAAAACAAATTAAACAGACAAAACAACTTAACAAAATGGTAAATAGGGTAGGTCGTGCGAGATAGATTTGATAATTTTTGTATTAACTTTTATTTATTTTATTTTAAATATATGTAAATGCGAAAATTGTAGTGTGATAATTCGTGTTTATATTCCGAACACGAAGCATATGTTTTGGTAATTCCTATTTTAAGTTACTAGTGAGAAATAGGAAATGAAGCCACAGCCTAACATCAGCAAAGTCAAACACTCTGAATAAACATCAACATGTTTTTCAACCCAGTAAAAAGAGATTCCAAGCATGTTTAAAACAAATACAAAGTAAATCACAAGGAAGCATAAATATGACTAAACTATCCAAGAATAATGTGAAAATGACAATGGAATTATTTGAAAACAAAGGCAATATATGCTGAAAATGTCAAAGCATCTATACCGCTTAAAAGAAAAGGAAAGTCTAGAAAATTCTACTCTTTCATACTTGAACTTTCCTTGTTCACAACCATTTTCTCCATTTCGTTGGGCTGAGAATTGCACGAGGACCTAATTTTTTCTCGCTGATAGAAGGGACAACTAAGAGGCCTCCCTCTCTCTCTCTCTTCAAAAGATAATAAGTTGTTCATCAAAGGTTTTAGGTAACATACTCCAGCCTCCACACTGCTCCTTCCTCTTGCAGAGCACAAAAGCCTAATCAATCAAAGGAGATCGCCCATAGGTTCAGCATCAACGGAGCAATTAGCCAAATGGTTTATATATTAACTCCAAAATTGCACCATTCCTAGTTTAATAATCAATGAAACTTGAAATTTAACAATAACTGAGTAGTTTGAATTAAATTTGCTATTGAAAATCTTAAATTTGCGTTAAACTTAAAATACTACTTCTCTCCAAATTTTTTATTTGTCAATAAAATACTGAACTTTTAATTTCAATCATCAAAATTTAATCTTTATAAAAAAAAATAATTTTGAAGTTGCAGATAAGTGTTTTGATTTTTCATCCATATCAATTGGTTGTATTGTTTATTCAGCTAGGCAACTTAAGTGTAATTAATCTTGTTAGGAGGTGCATGGTTTTCTTTTTCCTTTTTGGGTTGCGTTTTAGTTTTCATATTCTTAAGTTTTTTTTAATTAAATCTTACTTTTATTGCCTTAGAAGAAAAGAAAAGTAGCATCGATATTTAAGATTCTTTTATTAAGCAATTGGTTAATCAAATTATCCTTCTTATTTTCCTTATATCATCAATGACATGGACAACTTTCATCTTCCTTCTATTTTTTTTTCTTTTAATTTTTTTAAAAAAATTTGTTCATCAAAATTATCATGAATCAAATAGGGCTCCGGATCTTCTATTTCCTTTCATTTAATTTTTTAACATTTTCTAAAATATAAAATAATTAGGTCAGTTTTAAGAGAATATTATATGCCTGACAAAAAAAAAAAAAGAGTATCGTATGGCCCGAGTTAAGTTCTCATTCTAATGCATCCGAATATTTGATTAAATAATAAGTTCAATTTATCATTTGTTCAAAAAGTTGGGTTAGATTCTCTTTCCCAATTCAAAAATAAAAAAGAAAAAGGAAAAAGGGTTACTCTTCTAATCTATAATCTATATGTATAATGGAAAACCCAATGCTGGCTTTTGACAAGTTTCACAGCAGTGAGAAACAGAGAGAAGAAATGAAGTGCAAAATGCTTGCAGTGTGCAGATTTTCTTTGATACACAAAAATATCTTCATTATCTCTTTCAACTTTCAGCTATTATTCTGCGGTGGTTTATTTGGTGTTGGAGGGGGATTAGATCGTGGAGGATCCCTCTGCAGACTCCGACGGCCCAAACTTTGAAGAACCAGATTTTCTGTTGTGGGGAGTTCAAAAACAATCAAAATAAAAATAATTGGACATACTTGATCATACTCCATGATCTTATACGATCAAAATGCACATAAAAACCGAGAAAAGAGTATATTGAAGTAGTAGTAAAGAAATGCACCTTGGATAGCTGAAAACTCAGGGATTCTTGCTTCTACTGACAGAGGACATGAAGTCATTGATAAGGTTAAATATGCTAATAACAAAGTATAGACAGCAAAACTCATGCCGCTCCTTCCCATCCTTTGCTGGCGTGCTTGGTTTTCTAATATAAATGTATGTCCTTTCATTGATAAGGGTTTTGTGTTTCTTATTAACTACAAAACTTCACCATTTATAGTAGGAAGTAAATTGAAGATTGTTCCACTGTTATGTCGCTTTGTCTATTAAAATTTAGTGAATTGAAATAGTCTGACAGTGGAATTTTCAGCTTTGAAATGTCAAAGTCTAGCTACCAATTTTGTAGTCAGAGATTAACACTATGAAAGCCAACTTATTTTCATACCCAAACTACTTACTTCACAGTTAATTCATATAATTATATTCATAAATTCAAGATTTAATTTAATTAATTCACATAAATATTTTTAAAAAATAACATTTAATAAATTTAAAATTCAAATTTAAATTCTTATAATTTCTTCCATCTTTATTACGTGAGATTCTCTTATTTACCTTACATTGAATATAATTTCTGAGCACCGTAATGATTGAGGAACTAAGAAACTGGTGTTAAAGTGGACTAACAGATTGCTTGACCTTGATCTATTGGGAACTAACCATCCATTTGGTGCAGAGGCGGGTTGCGCACGGCAGACCTCCCTCTGCGAAGATTCTCTTTTTTTTTTTTTTTTTTTGTTAAATGCTTAGGTAAGGGAAGTTATCCATTTCAGAGCTGAAGTATACCGCCAGTAAATTTATATTGAATTTGCAAAAGATTTGTATCAAAATTTACAAATCGTTTAAAAAACTTTTGCTTGTAACAAAAATCAAATTAAACTTTAAAAGTGAAATATTTTACCCTCATCGATTCAAACAGTTGGCGAAGATTTTCTTATGTCGTAATTAAGGTCACCGTTCTTGTGTCAGAAACTTGACTTGAGTTTAGTTTGCCGCTTGCTTCCTTTGAATAGTCAGTCAGCTTTACCGACTAGAGTGACAACTACTGATATGGGTAAGGTAATGGAATTTTTTGTGCTTTATTAGAAGGGTTTTGTGTCATTTATATATCAAGAGAATCATTGCCAGCATTATTTTTGTGCTATTGTAGACTGGCTTTTGGTTAATAATAAATTTCTACCAAAGGAAAAAAAAAAGCATGATGACTTGATTTTCTATGAAACTATATATTTTCTACAAAAGAATCTTAGCTAGGTTCAAAATCACTCCAGAGATCGATCCATTCTATTTTATACTCTTCTTGTTGGCGACCAATGTAGCTACCCAGCCAGAATAAAATTTCCATCGATAGGATCAAACCACTCCATTCCTATTTTCTTGTTTTGCTATTAACTCACCTCCTTTACCTTATAAATTAAACATATTAACATATATACGTCACATGACCTTAGCTGATGAGGAGAATAACTCATATAAGATTGACCCATCTATACCAAAAAAAAAAAAGGCAAATAAATGTCACCATTTGACAGTACTTCAAACTTTAAAAGGCCAAACCATTGAATAACTTACTAATTGAAGATAGTATCGGAGAGTTGGCATGAAAAACTCTGAGCAAAATAGCATACCATACACAATATTGTTTTCAGTAGATTAAGATGCGTGATAACCAGAGCCTCACTGATCTTAACTACTCTACTTCTGTTTTCACGATCTTTCCATAGCTTTCCCGGCAAAGACCTATTTTCACCATTTCTTTTCGCAAGAATGCTATCAGGCCTAATGAAAGTAAAAGGCAATTTGACCTAATAACACAAAGCAGAAACTATATCCTGGAGCTCAGTGTCTGCCTATTGTCTGAAAGAGGAAATATGAGCACTTAATGACAACATGGTCTGGGCATATATAGTAGTTTTGTTGTGCTAACTTTATTTCTCTTTCCTTTTCTTGTTGAGGGCAGAGTAGAGGTTTTTTTTCATTTTTTTCGTAGGAGGGTAGAAAAAAATTGAGGATGGCATTTTGGATAGGAACACAAGGCACTTCTTTGTTTCACTAACCAAAATTCTACCACCAAGGGTCAAGAGATGTCTATCATCTAGTAGCTCCGAAACTGGATACAATGATCCCAAGCTTGATTTTCCTATTGTAAAGTTACCAAGAAAATCCATATGCAAGATGCTGAAATGAAACACTTTAGAAACTAGTCTTAATTTGGATAAAACTTTGATAGGGAAAAGGGTATGAGATTTTGGATGGCTAGTATTCCCGTAACTGATTACTTTTGAACAGATCCTAACTGCTAACCCATCCCAAATACTGTTTATACTTTCAATTTCCTCTTGGAGAATCAGAACGCCAAATAAAGTGAAAGCAGTCACTAAACGATTATATGAAATGTTAAATTTGAGATTTAACTATTTGTCAAAAATTACAACTAAGCAGCAACTTTCAGCATAACCTTAAGAAAAAAGGGAGCAAAAAAACATTATCCATTTTATAGAACAATTTAAATACATCAAAATGCATCGTAGAAAAATAACTTATACTTTTCACATACCAGGCATCCACCACCAACCTGTTCTATGAGAGATAATTCCAGCAAGACAAATATTAACAGTTAAAAACATTACCTTATTCCGCCAGTTGTAATCAGTACCCCTATTACTTTTGGGGGTCTTTTTGGCCATAATATTCTTCCATTTATCCTTAGGGTCAACCAGAGAATGAGTTGTGCGCAAAACATGATGATCAAAATCCAAAATTTTCCTCCAGGGGATGCTTTTGTTCACTTTAGCCAAAAAGATTCTCACTCCCTCCTGCAATACAAACATGGATGACAGTCAAGAAAATTAATTCTTGAATTCCTTCTAACTTGTCCATCCCAATCAGTGTAGTCAAGACGCATACCTAGCCACTACCACACGGTGCAATCTAGCAAAAACACCTATGAGTCTGACCACTCCAGGCAAGGCACACATGCCAGGAAAATCCTTATAAAAGATGCTAAACCCAAAACCCTAAAGTTACCAAGAAAATCCATAGACAAGATGCTGACATGAAACACTTTAGAAAACTGGCCCTAATTTGGATAAAACTCTATAGGGAAAAGGGTATGACATTTTGGATGGCTATTATTTCCATAACTGATTACTTTTGAGCAGATCCTAACTGCGGACCAATCCCAAATACTATTTATACTTTCAATTCGCTGTTGGGGAATCAGAACACCAAATCAAGTGAAAATGATCACTAAACGATTCTATTAAATGTTAAATTCGAGATTTACCCATTTGTCAAAAAATTACAATTATGCAGCAACTTTCAGGCTCACTATCCAGTTTATAGACAATTTAAGATCATCTAAATGTACCATAGAACAATAACTTCTACTTTTCACATATCAGGCATCCAGTTACCCACCTGTTCTATAAAAGATAATTACAGCAAGACAGACATATTAACAGCTAAAAAAATTTACCTTACTCCTCAGTTGTAATCAGTACCCCCTATTACTTTTTAGGGCCTCTTTGGCCATAATATTCTTCCATTTATCCTTAAGGTCAACTGGAGTACGAGTTGCGTGGAAAACATTATGACCAAATTCCAAAATTTTCCTCCAGGGGATGTTTTTGTTCACTTCAGTTGAAAATATTCTCACTCCATCCTGCAGTACAAATATAGATGGCAGTCAAGAAAATTAATTCTTGAATTTCTGCCAACTTGTCCATTTCAATCAGTATAGTCAAGACACACGCATGCCTAGAAACTACGGCACCATGTAATATAGAAAAAGCACCTATGAGTCTGACCACTCCAGGCAACGCAACTTTCCTGGGGCATGTGCCTATAAAGGAAAAAGGCACAAGAAAGGCATGCCCCGCCTGTTTGAGATATTTCATGCTGACTCTTACCAATTGTCAGAATACAGCATGGGGCAGGGCAAGTAGAAATCTTTTTGTTAGTCCTCACCACTGCTAAGAAAACTATACATGTATGTATATGTGTGTCTGAAGCTAACTTAAAAAATTCTAAATTTAATGGGATCTTTGTCAAGAACTTGAATTGAGGAGAGACATCCTGTTTAATAAGTTAGCAAATAATGTCAGCGGGAAACTTTTACAAAATACTATACACACCTACAGAAAATTGATTGGTTAGCCAACAGTATATATGTTAACCAATGAAGTTTTTGTTTCAAATATTATGAAATAAAGGAAACAGAAATGTAGCAAAAATCAAGTTGAACCTATCCCAAAGTTAATATATGTTAGTAAATACAGAATTTGAAAAAGGGAGGAATGAAGTGTCAATAATTTCATACCTTCAGCATATCTTCCTCTTCAGCTTTCCAGTGCAGTCTCCTACGCTTTTCAGTACCCACAATTGGGATCATGCTGCAATTTAGATGAAAAAATAAGGTAATTTCAGAATAATGGTAGTTAACAAAAACCAAGACACTAACTATGATCTGGCAACAATGCATATAATGCCCAAGATGAATCCTTTTATGACTATTACCTTCCTTAACCATAATGTAAAACCATGAATAACTTACAGTCGCTCAGTTGATTCTTGGCATTGCACAGAGCTTTTTGCCACTTTAGCTCCTCCCTCTTGGTTCATCTTTGTATCCCTTGTACTGTTACTTGGTTGAAAAGATGGATTCTTTGGTGAACTAACTTTCTGAGGTCGTCGTGCCTTCTGAGCTATTCGTTTGAAACGCTTTTGACGCACTACAAATGTCTCAGTATCCAAATCAGGTGATACAACCTCAGGACATTGAATTGCAGGCACCTTGGATGTAGCACCTATGGAAATTAGTGCCATAGTAGTTCCTACTTCATTTGGAAGCACTGGCTCTTCCTTCCCCCTCTTCTCTAAGTTCTCTTCCGATTGACCTACAAAGCCAGAAGTTTCTTTGGTTGATACATGAAGTGTGCCTTCCACAATTCCTAAATGGCTTGAACTGGATGGCTGTACTTGCCATTGATCCTCATCAATTTCATCATCTTCACTACCAGAAGAATTTTCTATAACCTCCTCTTGTATCTTTTCTCCATTCCCAACATTGTCAAACCCATGACCTCTAGAGATGCTTTCCTCATCAGATTTTTCCTTGCTTATGGACTCAACACCCTGTCTTTCATCCTGATTATGATGTATTGTCTCCGTATCATCATCATTCAGTCCATTTTCACAATCCTGATTATGAGGTATTGTCTCTATATCATCATCATCATCATCATTCAGCCCATTTTCACAATTACCAGAATTTACTTTCCCTGCCATTGTTGATAAACTTGCCTCTTTCATTTTTACAGTTTCACCTTCCCTCTTCTCTTCATTTCCACCATCGTTTCTCAAACATATAAAGTTTGACAATTCCTTCTTTGCCAACATAGCTTTCCTTCTCAACTCTTTGGTCCTTGCTAGTTCTCGCTTGTACCAACAATAAGGGCAGTAGAATTTACCTGTATCATCAAATTTAGGTTCACAATTCATGCACACCTTATGTATAGCAACCGGGCATCCATTTTCACTGCAAACCAAAAGCTGGCCACTTCTGCTATTGCATCTAATGCAAAACTCTCCTTCTAACCAATCTACAACAATACAGTCACCGCTAGGCCCAGCAACTTGGTTTCCTGAAGCACGTCTATCCTCCATCTCAACAGAATCAGGAACCACAACGTTGTCAGCATCAACATCATTATTGCTATTACCTTTATCTTGACTGGAACCAGTATCCTCTGATGCTCCATGATCCTTACCATCAACATGATATTCTCTATTAGCTTCATCCTATGCCAAAGGTTCATTAAAATGATTTTGCAGAAAGTAGTCATAATAGGCTGACATTTCGACAACAAATAGATTAGTTTCACATCTACACTTAGACAATACGTAGAAAAGGCTCCAATCTCATAAGGAGGTCCCAAAGCATTTTCCACGAATTTTCAATTTTCTCGAGAAACAAACAAAGTAAGTTCTACTAAATTTATCATTATCTTTTAACGTGGCCTGATTTTTAGACAATTTAAGTATTGCTACTAGTCACATTCTACATTATTACAAATAAAATTAAAAAAAAATAGTTTAATAAAGAAGTAAAAAGGGAGAGAGAGAGAGAGAGAGAGAGAGAAAGCAAATATTCTCTACCATTGTTTACTTTGATGTCGTGGGTTCCCGAGAAATAAACAGAAAAGGAGAGAGAAAGGTACCTGATGCCGGCGATGAAGGGAGATGAGCGAGGGATTTGAAGGAGGTATCGAATTTCTAGGTTTGAACTTCAAAGCTCGAGTTTTTCTTCTCATTTTTTTCTTTAAAAATTTGAGGTTTTCCTTCGTCTTTTGCCCCGATATTGTGCGTCGGTAAAGAGGAATCGCCGAGTTTCGAACGTCTGGAAACCGGGTAGTCGCTGTTCGTTTAAGAGGGAAGAAGAAACCAACCTGGGCCACCGCTCCATTAGGCATTAGGATTTGGGAGATTGGGCTCCACCTAAACCTAAATCCTAAACCCAGAGCCTAAACCCTAGTCCACTTTAATTTGGGCCATCAATTTCTACTGACATGACTAATTAAATAGACGTTTGGTCCAGTTTATAGAAATAATTTATCTATTATAAAAGAAAAAACTTTTAAGTGAAGATATAAATTAAAATATATTTTTTAAAAAGTTAATTTTAATGAGAGTTTTTTACTTTTTTTTATTTCTCTCATCAATAATTCATAAAATTATAATAAGAATTATATTGTTTCACATTATTATTTTATTTTGTTCATTTTTTATTAAATTCATTTATTTTTATTATAATTAATAAAAATATTTTATTTTATTTATTTTTCACTTAAAATTTAGGATTTAATTTAGTAAAATTTATTTTTTTATTTTTTATTTATTAAAAAATATATAAAAATACTATCAAAAAAAAATTTAAACATTTTACAACTTTTTTATCATTTTTAATTTGTCAAACATTATTTTAATTCGTCTTTACTTTTAATATCGTTCTATTTCAACAGCTGAAGCTGCAGACAAAACATAAGCTTTTTATCATTTTTATTCAAAACGTTGTCGGTGATAATTTTTTTAGTTTTAAAATATTTATTTTTTTCATTATCCATGTTAATTTTACTGAATCATACTTTATAATTATTTTTTCTCGTAATTATAATTTTTTAATTTTGTCTCTCTTTTTATCCTTTTTTTTTCATAATTATTACCAAAAAATTAAATCATCTATAATTTAATCCACATAGTGCAGGTGTGCATAAATTTATTTAGCATAGATTAAATGAAAAGTTGACAAACTATTTGACTAAGCTTTTTTTATAATTAATTGATTTAATTTTTTTAAGTAATGATTTAATGCATTTTTTAGTTGTAATGGGTAGGTAACAATTTAATTTTGTAGAACGCATTTATGAGATGGTAGAAAAAAAGTTTGGATGAGAATAAAAAAAAAAAAACAAAGAAAAAAAGGTAACGGGCAAATTGGGAAACCGCCTTTCAACCGCAAATAAATTGACTATTTGACTTTTGCGTTGTAAAAATCGAAAGGAAGCGCTTTGCCTTTGCTTTTCTCCTATTGAAACGGAGACGCAAAATCTCTCTTTATCCTTTTTATTCTCTCACTTTCCATTGAAAATAGCCGTTAAAGCTTCGCCGATAATGCCGCTCGATTCATTCCTCGTTTTCCTTATTTGAGTCTTTTTTTTCTTTCCCTTTCACTCATTGCTTCTCTTCTTTTTTTTTTTTTTTCCTTTTTCTTTTGCTCTGTCATTTATTCGGTGGTAAAGAAAATCAAACGCATTGACTCTGTACAACTTGTATTTTGTTAAGGTCGTTTCTTCGCTTTCCTTGAAGTTTCGTTCTTTGAAAGCAAAGACAAAAACTGAAAAGAAAGAACAGTCCGCAACGCGTTTTTTTTTTCTTGGCAGAGTTCAAAGAAGAATCAATGTTTTTGTGTGGAACATGAGTCACCTGTTCGGACATGGAAATTTCGTTGTTTTTTTCAGCCTGAAACTGAAACTAACCCATGGATGATCAGAAAAGCAACCATCACAACAACAAAAGCATTGACCTCGACGACAGTCCACCCTTTGTTCGGATTCACTCCCATGCTGAGGTTCCTTTCTCATTCTCTTTCTCTTTCTTTTCTTGGAATGCAAAACCTTTTTTTTTTTTGTGTGTTGAATGGTGATTTTTGAGAAAAGGGTATTGGTCAAATAGATTGGATCATCGGAAGAAAGAGCAGTGCTGGAACTTGAAGATGAAAGACTGAATAGTTGTGACTCAATAACAAGAAAGAAGCATCCGTTTAAAGAGACTTCAAGCAGCGATATATGTCACATGAAGTGCAAAAATAGTCTATGGAATAGTATCAAGATTGTTATCTTCTCTAGCAAACTTAATATTCTTATGGTTTTTGGCCCTGCAGCCATCATTGTCCATAAAACCACTGGTTATCATGTGAGTTGTCTCCTCATTCTATGCCAGTATTGCCCAAATCATAAATATATTGATTGCATGTTCATTTAGGTAATGATTTCCTTGTTATTTTTTAATACAAATATAAACAATATTTTCGAAAGATTAAAAATTTTGTATGCATTTAAGTTTATTGTGGAAAAAGAATATGCATAATTTTACTTTTATATGCAATAATTATTATGTTGAAATTGGTGCCATATTTTAGTCACTTACTCATATTTTATCCATTATGATTTTTTTTCTATCACCAGTTTTGTTTTATAGCAACATTATAGGAAAGAAAAGCAAATAGCAAAAAAAAAAAAGTAAGAACCAAGCATAGCCTTATGTTTCCAAGTGTGTTTCAGGGTATGGTTTTTCTTTTGAGCTTGTTGGGGATCATACCATTGGCCGAGCGCCTTGGCTATGCTACGGAGTAAGTTCACAGTCATTTGTATCAATTTTTTTTCTTTGCTCACATGTAAAGTTCTGTGTTTTCTTGACTTGTTTGATTGTAGACAACATTACTGTTGGTAATGGATGCACCTAAGAGTTCTGGTTCAGCAAATGAGCCATATATATTTGCTTAAAAGGACAAAAGGAACATTTATTGTTTTTAAGTTAATAGCACAAATTAGTTTTGCTCTTTGGATCAGTTGTTGAATTTCGGCATGCACCTTCTTCTAAAATGCATATTGTATATGCTGCAACTATGTTGATTGACAAGTGCCTAATACAGCTGGGGTTATTTCTTATGTAGGCAGCTGGCTTCTTTTACCGGACCTACAGGTGATTTTATTTTTAATTTGAATGAAGCCTCCCTCTTTTCCATTCTTTAGAAGTAAATGTTCAAATTTTGTATAACACCAAATTTCTGGTTTATGTCAATGTATATGGGTTTGTTGTGGACAATTGTATATGATAACAGTTTCAAAATTATCAGAATTCAGTCATGTGTTCAGTCTTTTGTTTGCATTTATGAACAACTGATTAAAATTCAATTATTATGTGGGTTTTGCTTCAAATATTTCTCAACTTTTCCTTATACAACCTTCATATTAAATTTAATTTTGCACTTGCAGTGAAGGATGAATCAAAAAATATGGTTATTGGCCGCTTTACGGGGACAAATAACCTAGTACTAAGTACTGCACTAACAAATGTCACACATAAACCTGAATTTCTTCTAAACTAACTAATTCACGTCTGCAATAACTTCTTGTACTTTGAATTGAGCTTTGCAGTTGGTGGACTCCTAAATGCTACTTTTGGAAACGCAACTGAATTGATCATATCAATTTTTGCATTGAGAAATGGCATGATTCGTGTTGTACAACAGTCACTACTGGGTTCAATTTTGTCCAACATGTTGCTAGTGCTTGGTTGTGCATTTTTTAGTGGAGGACTTGTGATTATGAAGAGGGAACAAGTGTTTAATAAGGTACACTGACATTTCTTTGCAAAGTTAAATTTTAAACCAAAAATAAAGTCCTTACTCGCTATTCCTTTCTTTATTGTACTTTTGTGATTTGTTCGAGAAAGGATTGAATAATGCTAATGTTATTCATAGGCAGCTGCTGGAGTGAACTCCGGACTGTTGTTGATGTCAGTCATGGGCCTGCTGTTTCCTGCTGTCTTGCACTCCACACGTACAGAATTGCATTTTGGGAAGTCTGAGTTGGCTCTTTCAAGGTTCAGCAGCTGTGTCATGCTTTTTGCATACGCTGCCTTTCTATACTTTCAGTTGAGGAGCTCGAAGAAGCTATATGATATGGTAAGTGACAATGAGGTCGGTCTAGATTACAGTTATTAATTATGTAATTGTTGTCAAGGCTCTAAGATATGATTTACTGAACTTGATTCCGGTCAGTAGTGATTTTTTTATAGCTTGTAATCCTTTTGTAACACACAAGCAAATTCTATTGAAAGCATAAATTGTCTTTAAGCCCTTTTTCAGTTTTTCTTTATCTTCAAGATCTTCCATTTATAGCGTATCTGATTAATGTCACGTTCTTCAGGAGAGCAAGACTGAAACTTCAGATGATGATGAAGCTCCTGAGATCTCGATGTGGGAAGCAATTGTGTGGCTATCTATTCTGACCACGTGGATTGCAGTCCTCTCAGAATATTTGGTTGATGCCATAGAGGTAATTTATCTTCCAGTTACCATATCAAGTCCTTTATTTATATGATTAGTAACTTGATATGCCTTTAACAATGATGAGAGCCTCTATGGGGGAGGAAAGTTTGTGGTCTTTTCTTTAAATGAAAGCTTTTCTCCCTAATTTTAGTTTTGCCTTCTCAGTATTGGCCTGTAATTGTCGTCTGTTAACTCTCTGTTCTGAGCTCTAAAGATTGTAAGTAGCTTTCAGAAGAAAATTTGTGAAGCTTCCATGCTTTCTTCAATTTTCTTTTGTAGTCAGCATAAGTTTAGAAGTTTTCTCCACACATCATACAAGGTGTGAAATTCTAGTATTATGCTGGCAAAAGTTTATGTACTACAAGGTATATTCTGCTTCTGAGTAATGCTTTGAAATGTATATGATTGCTATTTCCAGGGAGCATCTACAGCCTTGAAAATTCCTGTAGCATTTATCAGTGTTGTCTTGCTGCCCATTGTTGGAAATGCTGCCGAGCATGCAGGTGCTATTATGTTTGCCATGAAAGATAAACTTGTAAGTTCTAGGCCTACCTGTGGTAATATATAACTCTGACTAATTAATTTGTTAGTATAATTTTCTGAAAGAAAAAAAAAAATCAATCTCTTGTGCAGGACATTTCCTTGGGGGTGGCAATAGGCTCATCAACACAGATAGCCATGTTTGGGGTAGGTTCAAACATTACACACTTTCATTGAACCTCTTATCGATTGAAGATGTATGTCAATCGCCTTGTATGCACCACTTGTGCTTTCTAAGTTTGGCACTACAGTAATACCTCACAGTTATTGGTACAAATTTAAGGAAAAAGCCCTTACTATGTACCTTGTTTTCTTTATCTTGAAGAATGCAGAAATTAATAAACAATATAGTATTAAATTTCTCCTGGTGTAGAAGTTATCAGCTCGTATGAAAGAAATTGCTGATGAAACAGTAGGAATTCCATCATAATATTTTCTTAAATGATGAACAGGACCCCTATAATTGATATTGAATTTGCCTCTCTTTTAGGCTAAAACTGAAAAAGTTGTGTTGTAGTTTTATTAATCTACTTTATGGCCTATAAGGTGAGACTTCTGAACATCTCTTTCTTTCCCTTGGAATTTGTCTAGTTACCGAACATATTTCACTCCTATAGGCTATAAACATACCATAAAAGAATTATGCCTAAAGACCATTCTTGTTTATTTAGTAGAAGTTGTGCTATGTCATAGTTGTGATCGTCATTAGTCAACAATTTAAAAGAAAGAAAAAAACAAAACAAAAAAGATAATGGTCGTGAAGAATTACTTATGCTTTAAAAGGAGTAATTTATTTCATATATTCTTATAATGTTCTATTCATGTTTCCAGTGACATTTAATATGTTATTTTTGCTTCTTCGTTATGGATTCTTAGTGTTTTCTTGCAATGAGTGCAGATTCCATTTTGCGTGATAATTGCATGGATCATGGGGCAACCTATGGACTTAAATTTTCAACTTTTTGAGACAGCTACTCTTTTTCTTACTGTGATAGTGGTGGCCTTCATGCTGCAGGTTTGCTATTTCAGATTTTTGTCTTTTAGACACACACATGCAAATGTGGCAGCACTTTGCTACACCCACTAATATCAGAAAAAATAACTATCTTGTACAGCCACTATTTGATCTTGATAATAATGAGTGTTGAAAATATTTGGATGTGAACATCTCAAATTCCCATATCCTTGAAAACATTTCTTACCAAAAAAAAATTTTCCAAAGATGCAATATGAAAGATTTTCTGTTTTCAGCAGTTGAACTGTTTCAGTTTTTCCTTAAGATATCCCTGTTTATCATGGATTATTCTTAATGATTTATTCTTCTGACCTTGCAGGAGGGAACTTCCAACTACTTTAAAGGACTCATGCTCATTCTTTGCTATTTGATAGTAGCCGCAAGTTTCTTCGTACATGTAGACCTTGATTCAGTTGGTGAGTTATTATCCCCTTCCATGTCAGTTGGTCAAATGCAAGCTAAAATATATTTGGTAAATTTTATACTTTGACTTGGTTTTCACTTTTTTTTTCTTGCACTAATTTGATCATGGAGTCATATTTTCCATTGTTTTCAACCTACATGCAAATATAGTTAGCCAATTTTATTTCGCATAACTTTTTAACTATTGAAACTGCCACCATTTTCATGCACACGCAAATTGACTTACATAAGCATACTTGACCTACATGTGTTTCAACAGTGGATAAACCCCACAAAAATGGTGAATAAATTAATTAGTCATACGTCGTGGATCAACCAGATCAACTGGAACATTTGACGAGAAGGAAGATGCTTTTTCCCTGTGCAACTTATAGTTAAGTTAGAAGGTTCAAATATTAACATCTGCGTAAGTGAAAGGTTTATTCAATCCATGTATAGTAAGTTGAAGAAGTCCACTTCCTAATTTTGGCTCCATAGATGGTGTTGTTTGGTGCACTTCATCGCAAAAGCAGCTGGTGGATATTTTCAGCCTGTGGAGGTTTATTTAGATGTTAGCTTTACACTGAAATTTAGAGATTAGGACTAATATGTGTCAAATTCAAGAAATTTTGAAGAAATACACAGTAAAAGTCTTCATCTAACTGAGATATTTCATGGGATTGTTTGAATTTTTTTTTTTTCAATTTTTGTCCCCTTTTGCCTGCATATTATCTGTCCAGGTATAGGTTACTCACTTGTTTATCTGCCTTAACATTTTAGCAGATTTGAGTAATGTTTCTATCAAGCTCTGTTAACTAAAAATTGTCTGAGATCTGTTGTTCTCTGCTACTTCTAGATTATTTATCCTACAATCCTTCAGCCTGTGGTAACAAGAACCATATTCATGACTTGAAGATGAATATTACAGAAAGTGTTGGTAAAACAAAAACCTGAGTAAAACCAGTTTGTTGATCTCAATCTTTTGCTCTTTTTGTCTTGTTCCGGAATCTGGACTATGTAGGTGACTCTTATTGTGGCATGTGCCTGCAACATGAACTATCTTGTGTTGTTCAAATGCTCAATTTAAGGACATACAATAAGAAAATATTTTTCCTATCCTTTTCATCTTGGTTCCAACTTCTAAGACATCAAAGTGAGAAAGTATTGAAGTTTGGGTCAAACAAGATAACCATGGACCCGAATTGTCAAAACTTGGTATTAATTTAAGGTATTAGCTTTAAAAAAGAATGCAACAGTTATTACTAAATTGGATTCATTAAACTGAATTATAAAAGTAGATCCTTAATCTTCTAAGAATATCCTGCATCGGAGAATAATTTAGGAGCTTAGAAACTACACATTTGTGCCTTGGATATGAAACTTTGACTTACGAAACTGAGACGGTGAATAGAAACAGATAGATACAGACATGGATGGGTATTATTTAGAAATTTTGATTGTTTTGAAGGAAAATGATGGGATTCCTTCAAGGAAGAAACTAGGAAATTATGAAGACCCCTCGCCTTCATATATATATATAAAGAGGAAGCAAGGAATCAACATCTGCAGGGATAAGGGATCATGGGTCGAATATTTGATGCCATGGAGAATGATGAGAATATTTCGGGTGGGATTCTGCTGCTTTGCCAACTTTTCATTGCGATTTCAGTCTTATCAATGATTATTTTTGGGTGCCGCGATCCACCTTCTAATCAAAAGTTACCAATTTTAGATTTAGAAAGGCAGTTCAGTATTAGTGCTTTTCAGTCGGTTACAAAACACAATTTATTTTTTAAATACAACTTATAAAGATAAAAGCAAAATATAAGTAGCACTTCAATCAATATAAAAGCATAGGAAAATGCAATATTATAAGCTTGAAAACATTCAATAATCAACATTCAAACTATAAAGAAAATCTAAAATTAAGATAGCTTTAACTGGACTTAGACAGCTTGAAAAAGCAATAACACCTTGATAAAAAAAAATGTAAATAGTTTCAACACCTGTTCTCTTAAACTCTCTACTGAAGATATTGTCTACATAAAATATGCAAAGAAAATAATAATCATTAAAATCAAACCAATAAGACAAAAACATGAACAAAAACTTGAGCAAAACTTTATCCACAACCATTAGTACTACCCCCACCACATCATAATCTTCACCATAAATGTTGATATTAATTCATAACTTATTGATTAATATAATCCTGATCTACAATTCTAACTTAATTATCTATAGCTATCTATTTTCTAAGTAAACAGATTACGATAGAACAATTTAATTTTTCTATTAGAAGAGAAATTGGTTGAATGAAATAGGAGATATCATTATGAGCAAAAGTAGAGCACATATTGTATATTATATAAACATCCCTAAATAAGAAATTTGCTACATGACAATAAAAGCATCACATCATATTTTTCAAAACAGTAATTTTCATTTAATCATGTAAAATTTTATCAGTTAAAATGTTGTGATTCAAGCCAAGAAGAAAACTAAAGGATTTAACCAATAAAAAAAAAAGAAAAGAAAAGTGAAGCAATAAAAATTAACATATAAAAGATGGGGGATAGATTTTAATGCTTACTTGATTTGAGAATTGATTCAAATAATAATGTATTGATGGACATCACCAACATAATCAAACAAAAGATTGTATGTTTCTTCTCTCCCAGCAAAGGTAACTTTTTTTTCATAAACATTGGTTTGAATCCCCTAAATTTTGCCTCTAATGTTACCTAATAACTCAAAATCCATTTCATTATGGTTCTTTTATAATATATCACCTTTGACATCAATTATCAAAAAAGTAAAATTGATAATCAATCAATTTTTTTCATTTGTTAGCATTGAATTGATCTTTATTTTGAAATGATAATACATTAAGATAAATAACCTTGATCAAGATTTTAAAAAAGATTTATTTAGTACATGTTCTTAAGTTTTATATTTTGATATTAAATAAATAATATGTTTTTTATAATGTAAACAAACATTTCTTTATTTTCATATTTCTCAAACCAAATCTATTTTTAAAGATTATTTATTTGAGCATAAATAAAAATCCAATTGTTGTTTTTAAAGTGAATTTATTTATTTTGGACTTAATACAATTTTAATAATATTGGTTTGAAAAATAGATTAACTTAAGAAAGTTGTTTTATAAAAATAAAGTTTTTCAACATTGAAATTGTTTTATTTTTCTGTATTAATTCACAAAGTTTTAATATTTGAATTTTATATGGTTGGAAAGCTCTTTGAGTCTACTTTCTAATGGATAAACAAAATCAAAATCCAAATTTTTTAAGAAAAAATTTTGAATTTTTACTAGACACTCTACAATAATCTAAAAACTACACAAAAGATATATTTGAAAATTCACTATAATTCGTATATAATGAATTAGGTAATGAATTTTTTATGATAGAAAGCCCCTTAAGTCTAATTTTTAAATCTTCAAACGATTTGTGATTTGGATTTGTATAACTCAAGATATGATCAAATTAGTGAATAGAGAGCAAAATAGGATATAACAGAGCAGCTTGATCGGATTAATCCCTTGAGTTACAGGATTGACCCCCTAGCTGAACCAATCGATTGGGTCTCTTACTTGATCAATCAGGTCATGTTTTTCAAGTAAAAAATGACACAAAACTTGAACCAATCAATCCACTCATGGAATGGATCAATCGAGTCTGGGCAGAAACTCTCTAACAACTAGTTTTTCATGCTTCTAACGGGCATTTCTTCTTCCAAACCTTCCCCAATGGCTAGTTTTTCGATTTCTTTATATATTGGCTACTCCAACACACCAAGAAGATTGATGAATTAAGAGAGCAAGATCAAACAAGCCATATATTCATTCTCTCAAGAGTTTTAGAGCTTTAAAGTTTATATCTTTGTATTTATTATATCCAAATCATATTTGTTCTTCATTCATCATATTTCTTTGTACTTCATTAAGCAAACACTTAGCCTTTGATAGATGTTTTATATTTGCATTTTTATTAAGTGATTTTGTAGTCAAGAGGTGAGATATCCTCTTGAATTTGTGAGATTGAGAGGTTATTACTTAGCTTAAAAAGTAGATAGTGTAAAGTTTCTATCTTAAATCTTAAAGAGAAAAAGATAGAGTTGTAATTTTAATTCAAAAATAGTGGATTGAAATCTTGATGTGAACAACCAAGAGAGAAGACGTAAGTGCCATGTGGAGAACAATTGAACCTCTATAAATCCATGTATTTGATTTCTTTATTCTTATCTTTTTATTTTGATTATAATTTATATTTGCTTATAGTTCATCAATTTATTGCTATGCGCATCATATTTTATATTATTTTTAATTTTTCATTCAATCACTTTGAAATCATTGTTTAGAAAAATTTTGAATAAATCCAATTCACCTCCTCTTAGATCACCATCTCACCTATAAAACTAACATCATTAATTTTGAAAGTTGTCATTGAAAATGAAAATCTTTGCAACATATATATATATATATATATTAAAAAATGAGTTTGAAATTGAAATTAAATGCCAAACTATCATGTATTTATTTTAACCAACTTGCTTTATTTTTCTTATAAATCTTTTTACAACAAAAATAATAAGAAAACTTTAAAAGTTCGTAGTCATATTGATTTAGATTTTGATCAAGTTTTGAAATTCTAATCAACTTGTTAAGTATAAAGCCTTCTTGAACGTAAAGATGAATTCTATAACATTTTGAAATTCAACTTGTCATAAAAAATAATTAAAAAATAAAAAATAGATGGAGCAATGAGCAGTGCTACAAATACCAAATAATGTAACTACCGTATGATTTCCGCCATAGAGTATTCACCAACATTAATTTAAAAAGAATATAAAACTTACCTTTTTGTGTAATACAACATATATCAACTAATGTTATGATATATATAATAATCATTTCATTTCCATAACAAAGTGTTTATCAAAATTAACTTAAAAGGATTTGAACCTTACTTCTTTATTTATGTTTCAAATCTTTAAGACTTTTCATAATCTCATCCTATTATTATATAAACAAAATTTGAAACTATTATTAACCATCATCAGAAAGTAATAAATAAAGTTATTGAAATCATGTACTCAAAAATAATGTAATAACAAAATGAAAAAAGACATTAAAAAGGAACCAAGGTAATAAATTAACAATATATATAAATATTTAAAAATAAAAAATATCAAATAAACTCATATAATTATACTTCAACAGACCCAAAAAAAAAATAATAAATTCATGTTAACAATAGTAAAATGTATTTCAATAGTAAGATATTGCTTTATACAAAAAGAAAGAAAGTAACCTTAACTATATATATACCTATTTTTTTTATAGTTATAACACATGTTAAAGACTAATAATCAAAGGACATGTTTTAAAACATAAAAATTAATGATCAAAGTGATATATGGACAAAATAATTACTACATGCAATGAAAGAGTGGAAACATGCTTTATTAGCTATTTATTAAAGATGTATACTATGTAATAATTGATTATCTTAAATCTTTTAAAATAAAAAATGAATATTAATATGACTTTATTCCTTCATCGTTTGGGGATCATGCATGTCCTTCTTTTACTTTGCCTATTTTATAATTAAAATATATATCTTAGATCTTTTAACATAAAAATAAATACATTCACTCTTATATAAGGTTTGTGACTGGCTGAATGCAATGCCATTTATATAATCAAAATTTATAATAATAAAAGAAAAGAAAGATACCATTTGTTCTTTGATTTCAATTGTGACAATAGTGCTCCATATTGATTCTAATTTAATTTCTTAAAACTTTATCCCACCAAAAATATATATACGAGAAAAAGAAACCTTAAAATTTTCACAATTTTAATTTTTTTTTCATCTATAAACTAAACCAAATAATTAATTAACAAAAAAAATTTAATCTCGTTGAAATTAGAAAAAAAATACATGCAGAGATGGGATAAAAAATACTTTAGAGAGAAGTTAGAAAAAAAAAAAAACCCTAATCTTTGCTTTCTCTCCCTTTATCTCTCTCTTTCTCCACTATGCCTCCTCCTTCCCCATTGGCATTTTTTTTTCTTGATCTTCTCTCTTGAAGCTTTTGTCTTTTTTTTTTTAATATAATGAAATTGTTTGCCAACCCTACAAACTCTCACGCTTAGAAAATCCTTTTCTCTCTTTGATCTCTTTTTTTTTTTTCTCAATCTTATTCTTTTTTAAACCTTTCCCCTTTCTCCTAGCCAAATATCTTAAATAAATAAAACAATTTTTCTATCCTAAAATGTACCTTCAATTTTTTTTCTAAGACATCAAAGAGTTGTCTAGTAAATTAGAGAATGAAAGAGTTTAGGGATAGCTTTTATATATTATTATTAATAGTTGTTCAACATATTCTGAGAGTTAAAAAAAAAAAAAAAAACTAAGCTTCAAATTCAACTTTCCCAATTATCATGAATTATCTCAAGTCAAACATTAAGCTAATAATCACATTATCCATAATCACATTTAAAGAAAATCCCCAAAGCAAACAAATTTGAAACCAACAAAAGTCAAAGTCAATGATAGGCTTGAAACTATACCTTAAATTAATGTAAACAATTTCAAATAAGAATTCTTATTAACAAATGATGTAAAGCTAAACTGTACATGAAATCAAAATGTATACCTTTAGTTATGTCAATAGTTTTAAAGAACATAAAATGTATAAAAAAATAATAATAAATAATTAGACAGATGTATTTAAAAACAAATATATAGAAATGAATTAACCTTGCAAGCTCACATATCACAATTTAAAGTAAAGGCAAACAAACACTTATACCCATGAAAGAAAAAAATAAAAACACATTAGAATACTAATTTGGATAAAGAAACAAATGATTAAGAAATTGTACACTTACTCACTAATCTTAAAATTGGTGTCCTTGACTAGTTATATAATACTATCCATTATAGATAATGGGCAAAACAAATTATAACATTGTAAATGACTTTTGATATTGATACTTCGCTTTAGTAAAAGCCTATCTACTTGCTAATTGTATGCAACATATAGATATTGCATCAACAAAAAAGCACATTTATTTCTTGTATTTTCAATAGACATGGATCACAACAAAAAATTATTTTTTTTTTCATTTAAAAAATTGCAATATGAAGTTCATGATTGAAACATCAATAATAAGTTAAAGAAATTAACGACAACACAATCAATTACTATTCTAATATCAAGAACTCAAAATGGAAAAAAGAGTTGCACCGGAAAACACACTCTGTATTCATTTTTCTACTACATACACAAAATATATTAGGTGCAAGATGATTAAAACACATCTCCATGAAATAAGTAGTTTTACAACTTTATAACTATATTAACTAACAAAAGCTTCACTGATAGATTACAAAAGGATATTGTTTGTCCTTTGAAAAAATCTCATAGTTATACAATAACAGAATAAGCAAAATAGATATATAAAAAACAATTAATGAAATAAACAAATGTATTGTTAGAAGTTCGTTAGATGAACCTGATATTCCTCTAATAAACGTAAGCATAAGTAATATTAATTTATTTAAAATTTAAAAGACAATTAGAATTTTTCTTTAAAACAATTAATTGCAAGCATAATAAATAAAAGCATAATCTATAATTAGGGGTGTAATCAAGCGGAGTCGAGTCGATATAGTGAGAAACTCGAGCTCGACTTGCAACTCGCGGCTCGATACTCGGTTCAAACTCAATCGAGTTTCATTTTCTAACTCAAACTCGATTCGTGATCGAATTCGAGTTACTCAAATTTGTTCGATTAAGTTCGAAAATATATAAAAATAAGCTCGATTCTTATACTCGACAATAGCTTGATTATTTGTGTTCGAGCTCAAATTCGAGATATTTTATTAATTAAAATAATAAAAAAATTTTAATATAAAAATTCGATTAGGCTCGTCAGCTACTCGAGCTGAGTATAAAAATACTCAAATTCGACTTGATCGATGAATCGAACTATTTGAGCTTGAACTTAACTCGATAATAATCGAATCGAATTCGAATTTTATTCTAATCGAACCCAAATAATTTATGAGTACTAATATATCATTTACACATTTAACTATAACGAGGCTTACACAAGCATTTCGGAAAATTAGGCATAAACATTTTGTAAACAAAAACTAATCAAAAGGTAATTAATCCTAAACACTTGAAACCATGTACTTTTCTTAGGTATGAAAGTAATTTATGCAATAAACTAATTAATATATAATGACAAACTTTCAATCAAGTCATTCATTGCATTAACAAATCAAATTCCACAAATACAATAAGTTTTAAATAAGTAATAAAATAAATACATTTATAACATTAAATGAGAAAACTCTAAAATAAAACTATGAAATGTTAGTTATTCAGATATCAAATTATAAAAAATAATATGATTCGAAAGCTAAATCATGGTTAACCGTTTTTATTATGGTATTTGAATGTATAACTTATAAAAAAATCAATGAATTTGGCAGTATCTAGTGCCCAGTAGGCACTGCCACATCATCGTTTGAAAAAACTCTTTATTTATTTAAAAATACAAAGTTAATTTTCTACGAATCTCAAACCCTAAAAATAAATAAATAAAATAAAAAAGAATTTTCCGTACCTCTCAGTTGCCAGAATGTTGAGGAGTCAGGCTAGATTCTGAAACCCTAAATCTATCCCTAAAAAAGATCACTCTCCAAGTTTCTTCTCAAAACAAAGTTAGCCATGGTCAGTTCTCTTTCAACTATAATCTCATCTCGCTTCTCTTATTTTCTCTTAAATCATCTGTCATCTTTTTATTATTTTCAGACCGGTCGTGGAGGCAGGGACCGATCGCGACGTGACTACCCTCTGTCGGGAAGTTCGGGGCGGAGCAATGCACCGCCATCGAGACACCTTTGGGTGGGGAATCTATCGCACAGTATACTAGAGCCAGATCTCACCGACCACTTCTTTCAGTATGGTGAACTAGAGAGCGTGGCTTTCCAGCCAGGTCGAAGCTACGCTTTTATCAATTTCAAAAACGAAGAAGAAGCTATTTCCGCCATGAAGGCGCTCCAGGGTTTCCCTGTAGCGGGGAATCCGCTTAGGATTGAGTTTGCCAAGGCGGTTAGTCTTGAACTATTACTATTATTACTTTTTTGTGTTTCGATACTGTTGATTTTTTCTGGAATGAATTTGAATTTCATTGAATTTTCCAATATTTTTGTGTTTAGTAACAAATGATTGATTGGCAGGGAAATTAAAGTCCAAGATTTTTATATTAACATAATTCATCAACATTAAAAAAAAAAAAAAACTGAAAATTAAAAAGAAGCTTAAATTTATAATGCAAAATGAATATTAACTTGGCTGATTAAGGCTCTGTTTGGTTGTTATGAATTTTGCTGCTTGCTTTTTTACTTCTGGAAAATAAAAGCAAAAAGGCCTGTTCTTTTAAAATACAAAACTTTAACTTTCTTTTCTTTAATAACAATTTTGTGTTTCACTATTTTGTTTTTAACAAATTTTGAGAATGCAAAAGCGAGCAGCAAAAGCAGCAACCAAAAGAGCCTATCAATGAAGAAGATAGTACTGCAGTCCGTTTAAATAAACAATTGGTTGTGACTTCCTAGCAATTTCATCAAAGTTCCTGGTTAGAAATAATGGAACAATTATAGGTTGGCAACTCAAAGGACCTCAGATGCTTATATACTCGGAGATTCATCCCATAACAACAAATGTAATATTGAGAATAAGGGGGAAACAACTTAATTGAGACTCAATTTCACAGCTCAAAGTATATGATTCTCTATGAGAAAGTCCTTTCAGATTTGTCTCTTTCTCCCAGTAGCAGCAGCTTTATAAAACTAATATCCTCCTCCATTGTACCGTTTCATTTGCAAAGGTTGCATACAGCAACTGAAAAAAATCAAAATAAGCACCATTGAGTTGAGATGTTTGATAAGGCTTAGCATGGTCTTTCCAATTGCATACAACAGGCTTTACACCATTTTACAGTTTTTCTGGTTTGGCAATTAGTATTATGCCTTTAAGACTTAAGAGGATTCATAACCAAAACTGTTAAAAACATTATCAGGTTCAGAAACATCTATCATTTCAAGAATAATGACATAACAAATGGAAAAAAAAAAATGTAAATTAGTCTTTCTGTCCACTCACTTGATTACAACATGCAATTCTTAATGCCATCTTGTGCAATTCTTTCTTGCATATTGCCAAGTAAATTACTGTTGGATCCCATGCACTCAATATGGTTTATTCTTAATGTCATCATTTGTAGTTCTTTCATGCATATTGCCAAGCGAAACAGGTGTAATTAATAGATTTCTGTATGGAAAGATGTTTGATGCAATGCTTCTTCAGACCAACCCATTGCACTTAATCATGCTGGGAAGTGAACTTTTGAATGTTAAATGTTGAATTGATGGATAAACCTTATTGACCTAGAACAATTTCATTCCAACACATTTAAATTGAAGAAAGAAACATAATTCCTACAATGAAGATCTTACATTGAAGTGGTAACTAGAAAAGGATCTTCGTAACATAATTTTATTACCACATCATTAAGTACGCAGAACATCTCTGCCATACAGGTTGGCTGCAGGAACATTTGTCTGTGTAAACTCCATGGAATTTTTTTGTTCAAATTCAGCGTTGTCCTTGATGGTATGATAAAAAAGGCTCTTACCTTCTAGTTTACAGTCCTTTTCAAATGTCAGCAGCTGACTGTGTGCGTAGCAGGATCATCATCAATAAAGCCAATACCAGAATTGTATCCTGTGCAGCAATCTGAAATTTTCTACATGAAAGAAAAGAAAATTTACTTAAGACAGAGCTTTTCCTTTGCTGCCAATAAAGATATCTCCATTAACCTCCACAACCCATAGAAATACTCGCACCATAAGACAGTTGAACAAGAACAACATATATTCTCTGGTGAAGTAGGCTGTCTCTAATAATTTTCTAGAACCTTTTTTATGCTACTTGATCCAGAATGCTCACACATCAGCATAAATCTTGAAGCATACCTTAGTTTGCATTGGAGAAGTCTGAGTGAGTAATGGACGATAATTAACAAGTTACAGTATCATTAACCTTTTTCTTTGCTAGTAATAACTGATCTTAGTCAAGTTACAATATGATATCCTATTTAAAGATATATTAAGAATAAGGCAATAATATAATGTGTCAAAGATAAAGTCAGATACATTAAAAAGGAACCCAAAGAAAAGGAGGAGAATGACCAGAATTGACAATTACTAGATTTTGAATAGAAGCACCAATGTAAGTGTGGAAAAACGAAGAAATAAATGGGTGTAAATGTTGAAGAATGGGGCAAATCAAGCAAAAAAAAGTCTTTATCCTTATCTTTCATGAATGAAGTCTCCCCCTGAAGATAAGGTTGAGTAAAAAATGGTTTATTTTCTTTAAAAGTGACATCTGCAGACACATAAAATTTTTTGGTAGGAGGATGATAGTACTTATATCCTTTTTGAGTTGAAGAATACCTCACAAAAATACACTTAATCGCTCTTGGATCCAACTTTCCCCTGCTATGACTGTGAACATGAACAAATGATGTACAACCAAATATCCTAGGTGTGAGATTGTTTGTGGTATTTAGGTTGGGATAAAATTGTGAGAGTAGTTCCATAGGAGTTTTAAATCCCAAAACTCTTGAAGGTAACCTATTTATAATGTGTGTGGCAGTAAGAACAGCTTTCCCCCAATAAGATTTAGGTACATTTGCTTGAAAAAGAAAGGCTCGGGTTGTGGCTAGTAAATGGCTGTTTTTCCTCTCTGCCACTCCATTCTGCTGTGAAGTATTAACACAAGATAACTCATGGATAATCCCCTCTTTTTGGAAATAGGTGGATAGACTCTGGTTGAAGTAGTCTCTTGTATTATCAGACCTAAATCTCTTGATTCTCACTCCAAATTGATTTTGGATCGTGTTTTGGAAGCTTAAAAATACATTATTCACATTTGATTTGGATTTAAGTAAAAAAACCCAAGAGACCCTGGTACAATCATCCATGAATGAAACAAATCATCTCGCACCAGAAATATTAGGAATTGTAGAGGGACCCCAAATGTCACTATGAATCAAGTAAAAGAGAGTAGAACTTTTTTGTTACTGATTGAAAAAAACACACGTCTATACTTTGCAAGTTCGCAAATATCACAATGAAAATCTTTGACATTTAATCCTTTGAACAAAGAAGGAAACATATTTCTCAAAGTTCCAAAAGAAGGATGTCCAAGACGAAAATAATAAAGTCAGATTTTGTCTTTATTGGAAGATTTTTCAGAAAGAAATGACAAAGGTAAATTATTCTTGATATTACTTGTGTTATTTGATGTCTCAAGATAGTATAGTCCATCTTTCTCCTTAGCAAGTCCAATCCTCTTCTTCGAACTCTTGTCCTGAAATTCACAGTAATAGGGATAAAAAGTTACTTTGCAATTCATATCTCTAGTAAGTTTTTGTATAGATATCAGATTAGTAGACAATCTAGGAACATGAAAAACATTTTTGAGAACAAACGAGGGATTAACTTGCACATCTCCTAATCCTGCCACTGTAGGAAGTGAACCATCTGCAACAACAATTTTCTTATTACTAGGACACAGGTTATATGTACTAAACTTTTGTGAGGAATGTGTCATATGGTCTGTGGCTCCTAAGTCAATGACCCAAAAACTCGTAATAGGCTTAGCCGAGACATTTAATCCATGAGAACCGGAAGCTTTACCTAAACTAGAAACCTTACCCAAAGAACATACCACAATAGGCTTTTCAAGGATTTTCAATAAGTTTTTCAGGTTTTCAATCTCTTCCCTGTCGAACTCTCCTTGTTTCTGAGACATCTGTAGTACTCCAGTGATTTTCCTAGTTGACATTTCCTCAAATTGGGTGGTAGTGATATCTTTATTTGAAAGGGTTCGGCAATGAAGGCCCAAACAAGATTCGGCAATGAAGGCCTAAAATAGAAATAAGCAATAAAGGCTGAAAATTTTGCTTCCCAATAAGAGCCTAAAGCTCTAATACCATATGGAAAAACTAAGAAATAAATCAGTGTGGAAATTGAATGTATATTGAAAAACTGTTTCTTCAAAATTATACAAGAATCTTAGGTTTATATACAACTAACTAGGGGTTAAACTAGGAAACTAAATCTTCCTAAAAAAACTAATCCTATAATTGAGGGATTATCTATCATAATTTTAGGGATACAAATACTTAATTCTAGAGATACAAATATAAATATACAGATTACAAGATTACAAACAGCTGTAAATAAGTGTTTTCCCACAGTAAGTTCAAATATGTAATCTTGGGCTGTATTGGAAAGTGGAAGCTGTAGAAGGAAGATCATTTACATTTTTTTTTCTATAAATTGATGGTATTGTTAAGTGCCGTTTGCAGTTTAAGCAATCCAATCATAAGCAGCACCATTTCCTTCCTCAATTGAAGGAGGGTGATTGAATAAATAGTGAGCATTGAGGACTTTTCTAACGGCAAGCAAATTGGAACAGATAGCATAATCTGTGCTAATAAGAGCCATGAAAATAGTCATTACCATCAGAGTTACTCCAAAAATCTGAATATTCGCACAATGACCATGTATAAGATAGAGAGCATAAAATATAATTTAAAGTAGCAAAACTTGGAAATGTTAACCAAGTTCCCAGGTCTCAAATGCTAACCAACCTTGCTTTTAATTATGTATCTTTTCCTTTGAAATATTACCATTTTAGCTGGAATGGAAAAGCATAACTCTGAAATTACTCACTTGCTACGTCTTGGAAGATGAAAATTAGTACTCTGTTTTCCTCTTTCTATTGATTTACTGCAGCACACATTGCTAATTTTGTGAACATTAAATTAATGAGGGGGGATGTTTTGTAAACCTTGTAATTCCATAATAATTAGTCGTTACTTTCAGTATACATTTCATGCTAACTATTGATCAGATGCAATCTAAAGGACCATTCTTAATGTAAGTTCAAGTTGTTAACTATTGTTAAGTATGACTCTAAAAGGAGGCTTTTCTGTGTTAAAGTGATTATTAAGTGTTGTAATTGTTATCTTACTTTTTCAAGATTTACTTTGCACCAAAAAAGACAACAGACAAAGAATAGATGAAAAAATCAGGATAACATAAATAAATAATGCAAGCCTAAGTTCTTCATTTCTTTAAAAACTGTCTTCTTCTCTGGTCATAAAAGTTCTGGGTAGTCCTGAATGTAGCTGTGATATCTTTGAGATTATAATTGGATGAATTTGAGTATAAACAAAAGAGAATGTGCATATTCAGCCAAGAGTTATACATTAAGCAGGCTAGCATCCTTGTCCTTATTTAATATTCTCATAACTCAACTCTCCTAAATGAAAAGATCTTGTGATAAGAGTTTTTCTAGCAAGGTTTGCAGGATTAGACTTGGGAACTTGTGTGACTCAATTGTTGATTTTCTGTTCTGCCAATCCCAGTGATAACATTTGCTTGAGAAGTGATGAAAATCTATGTATTTTCACAACATTGATGTTTTCTATTCGTAAAGATGCATCTCTCGGTATGGTTTATATGTTTGACTTCCCCTCCAATTAATGTTTTGACTTGTTTGTCTTCCCATAAAAGTTTCAAAGGATTACTTGTGCTTGTGGAAGTTTACAATGCAATCATGTGTGTTATTCTGCTGTAAATCCATGGCTTAGTTTTTCACTTTTATGATGAGATTAGTGTGTTTGTGTGGGTGTTTGGGTGGGTGGGTGTGTGTGTGAATATTTTGTAGTTAGACCAGGGAGGTGTCCTTTCTGTGTAACAGAAAGTGTTGTTGGTTTCTTACGAATGTCATTAACCTAAATTCTGATCACTATCGGACACCAGATTTTTTTACTGGGGCTTGCTTAGTGGAAGTTGAGTTCCTTTTGTACTATTTATTTAGGAGATTTGGAGTATGCATGTGAGTGAGTAGAAGCATGTGCTGATAATAAAATTAATTTCCTCTGATCAAAATTTTTACCGTCTATAGAAGCTTGATTAGAATTACCTTTTTGGGGGACATAAGTAGTTGATCCTTTGACAACAGAACATATTAATGGGTATGTTGTGGTCATAGGTAAATTCTGGTTTAGAATCAGCTCAAGATTACTACTTTCTTGTTGTGCAGCAACTGGAACTTGAGGCAAATGCCTCTGCTTTCAAGTAGTAAAAATTGGTAGGATCCAGTTGTACTGGATCATGTTTGAAAAGTTACTGATGTTAGAAACTTACATTTGTTTAGTTTGATCTACCAAATTAAGGTCTTTTATTCAAATGATAGTATGTACTTTAGTGCATGAAGTGGTTCCTATAATTGGAAAATACGGATTTTGCCGTGCAGATAATTAACTCTAGCAATTTAGAGGCTGCAAGTTTAGGTAAACACAGCATGATAATGTTCTGTAATCTGGCATATGCCTTGATACAACTGAAAGGTCATACAATTTGATCTCCACATTTATTTGCCTTTTTTTTTTTGGGTGCAGTGCATTTATTTGGTTTTGTTTTAGTTTGTATTTCTTTTAATTTCTATTCTTGTATACTTCATTTATTTTTCGCATGGCAGTGTTTTTCAATTCATAAATTGCAACACTGATAATACATGAGTGTGACAAAGTTTTAATTGTGAAGTCTAAAGTCCTTAAGGCTCATTCTCTACAGCCGTTCCCACATGATTAAAAAGAGATGCCTTATTTGATAAACTTCATCAAAATCCTCCAAGATAATGCCCCCATCAGGTGGTTTCTACTTCCACCTTGACTACAGAGGCAATAGGATCTTCAGGTGAATTGGTGCAGTGGCTAACTATTTTTATTTAGTTTCATATGCACTGCCATGCCATAGTTCAATATGTCTGCAAAGCATATTTGCTATTGGAAATGGTTATTCTTGCATACACTTATATGGAGGCATAACTTAATTTCTTTCTCCACATCCATCCATTTGATGTCTCTACTGTTGATATTTTAACTTGATCAATCTAGATTAGAATCTTATAAGAATGCTTAAAGTAAGGATCGGTTTTCCCCTTACCTGGTGATGTTCTTAATCTCAGGACAAGTCATCGACACTGTCATGTGATGAGGACTACTTGCTACGTCGGGATGAGCAACGTTCTACAGTTAGAGGGTCTCCTTTCTCACCAAGGGACTCTAGAGCACGTCATGCTAGTCCTGAACATTTTGTCCCTGACAAATCAAAAACAAATGATAGAAGTGCTGATCCCAGTGAGGTCCTATGGATAGGATTTCCAGCTTTACTGAAAGTAGATGAAGTGATTTTGAGGAAGGCTTTCTCTCCATTTGGTGAGATAGAGAAGATTACCGTGTTTCCAGGACGTAGTTATGCTTTTGTTCGTTTTAGGAGCATATTGTCAGCATGCAGAGCAAAAGAAACTCTTCAGGGAAAGCTATTTGGGAATCCCCGTGTCCATATTTGTTTTGCGAGGAGTGAGAGTGGGTCATCCAACAGTGGAAGGGGCTCAGGGAATGCCCCTAGCTCTCCCCATTTCAGGGTAAAAGGTCGCTTGGGGTCTTCTGAGAACTTTCTGCAGGATAGGAATTTTGCAGACTTAACAGAAGATGCAAGCATTAGATCTCCTTTGATCGATTCTGGTGATGCTGATGTTTATAGTTTCAATAGGAAAGGTAGTTCATGGCGTGGTGGAAATACATATGAACCCTGGAGGTTTGGAGAAGAGGGGCCTGATCCTCGACGACAACAAGATATGTATGAACATGGTAAAAGTCCAATGGGATTCGATGATTTTCCTCCAAAATTACCTCAGAAAAGTGCATTCTATGAAGAACCATGGGATATGCCTGAAGACACCTATTCTGTCCCTGGAGCCAAGAAATTGAAAACTGGCTCCCTTCCACTTGAGAAAGAGCTACCAGAGTACTCTTTATCTGATCTTGAACAAGAAAAATGTGTTTTTCCAAGAATACTCTCTGATTTTCCTCAATCTGAAGTCTTTAATAAGAACTTTGAACCTGGAGCTTTGGGGTATAAACACATTCCCGATCGGCCAATGAATTTAACTCCAATTCATGGGGAAAGAAATGATCACCGGAAACCATCTTATGACGGTTTTCCTGTAGGATCTGGTTTACAATCAAACATTATTGAGAAGAAAAGATTTACTCCTGAACTGGATCGGCCATCTTTGAAAGAGTGGAAATGGGAGGGGACAATAGCCAAGGGTGGAACTCCTGTATGCCGTGCTCGCTGCTTTCCTGTTGGAAAAGTCCTTGACATCATGCTGTAAGTAGTAAAAAATCCTTTCTCACAGATAACACAACCGTATACAGATAAATGATTAGTTGTTATTAAGTCGTTCGTTTCCTTTAGAGTAACTTTAATTCCCCCACCATTAAGGTGTCTCATGAAATGGAATAACTCCGTATTGTTTCCCTTATTCAAGTAATGGTTTCAAGCTACAAATTGACGGAATAATATATCATTTTTTACTTGATAGATTAAAGATTTAATTTTTTTTTTCCAATTTTACTAGTAAAATATAAGGTAGGGGGATTTCTGCATGTATTTGTTGTTTAATATTTTTAGATTTCTTGACAAAAAAGTTGATATTTTTTCAGTTATTTTATGAAAATGAATGAACCTTTTCGATTTCATGATGCATCGCATAGTACTTCTGCTGGTGACCATTTCCTTTTCCCTCCTATCTTTCTGGAGTTCACAAAATTACTGATTTACCCTACCCTGAGGCTGCAGGCCTGAATTCTTAGATTGCACAGCAAGGACTGGTCTGGACATGCTTGCAAAGCATTACTATCAAGCATCTAGTGCTTGGGTTGTTTTCTTTGTCCCTGAAAGTGATGCTGACATGGGATTCTACAATGAATTCATGCATTACCTGGAGGAGAAGCAGCGGACCGCTGTTGCTAAATTAGATGATGAGACCACATTATTTCTTGTACCACCGTCAGATTTTTCAGAGAAAGTACTGAAAGTACCTGGGAAACTGAGCATTTCAGGTGTTGTTTTGAGATTAGAGCATTCTGGTTCCAGTTTCGGGTCTACTCATCCTAATGAAAGAAAAGATGCAAATTTGTTGCTTTTTCATGGTGATACATCTTATGCAAAGCCATCAACAACTTCAGGATCATTTCCTTCTTTGGCATATCCAGAATTAAGTATATCAGAAATTAAGGATAACTCCTTTCCTGGGAGTGGGGCTACACCTGTTGCACCTCTTTCACTTTCTGGGTCAGCTCATTCTGTTGGTGATGTATCCGACTTGTATAGTGAGCACAGGCATGATCAGGCTCCCCAGCGAAATGCTATGTTTGGACCAAGCTGGTCTTCCCATGATCAGCATCATCCGGTGTCTGTTGCCAGAAATACTCAAGTTTCTAGTAGTGCTTTTGATCCTGCAATTAAGGGGTATCAGTTAGTTATGCCAAGAGCAGTGCAAGAAACATATTCTAGTACTGGTGGAACTTCAGGTATTCCATTATCTGGAAATAGCAAGCCCGCTATGCCTATTTCAGCCCTTCAACCAGAACAACTAGCACAACTGGCGTCATCTCTTATTGGGCAGCAGAAGCAGGTGGGAAATACTCCAAATGTATCAATCGGGGAGCATTTTCGTCACACAAACACAATGGACCAGCCCGACTTGTTGAGACAAGCACAGGGATATGCTTTACAAAATAATCAGGCTACTCCTGAGCTCTCAACATCTCAGCTTTCTCAAGTGCAACAGTTGCATCAGCAGACATCAAATGCAGCTGCAGCAGTGCCTCAAGCATCTCAAAGAAGTCAGCAATTGCATGGTAATGGTATACAGGAAGAAGGCGATGCAGATCCACAGAAACGCTTGCAAGCAACATTACAGCTGGCAGCAGCTCTTCTTCAACAGATTCAACAGGGGAAAGGGAGTTGAACTGGTTTCAGCTTCGATTTCAATGTACTGGTACCATGTGATACTTTTAACAATCAGCTTAATGAAACTTCACTTATTAGTTTTCCATGGGTTGCCCGGAATCGTCCAAATGAGGCAGCGGATTATCTCAGTTCTTAGCATTGTAAATTCGGTGGCCTTTCTAGCACATAATTTTGGAATTTCTTTCTCAGCTACTTACGTTAATTTTGGAATTTCTTTCTCAGCTACTTACGATCTTCTTTTACTTAACTAACAAGTTGCTTGCCAGCCATGTTGATAGCTACTCTTGATGCATGGGGCTATTTTGTTAAGCACCGTTTGTTTCGCAAAAAATAGTTTGTTAACGCAAAATATTTTCATAAAAATGCCTCACATGGTAGCCCTGCTAGTACTAACATATATATCTGCAGTATCGTTATTGCACTCTCCAACTCTCCAATCAATCAAGGGCTTCAAAAAGAATTATTATTACATGTTTAAGGTTTAGCAAGAATTGAGATGATTTCATTTATTGATCGGTTTCTAATGCTAAAAGTTGGTCACCCTTTTAATATCGTTGATAGAAGATTTGATCACCCCATCGTTTTCCACTCCCTTTTCTACGCCTTTAGCCTTTCTTTCGCCAGAACTATGCGTAAACCACGTCTCTTGTTGCATCCCATAAGCGAATCCCCTTTCCTTCTCTCTTGGCATAGTTGGTTATAATTTTATGCATCATCCACGATCTCTTATCTCATAAAACCAAGAAATCAATCTCATATCTATGGTTTCAGTGCAGAAACATGATCATAAAATAAATTAAAGCACCTAAATGCTAGGTTCTCAGCCTCATCTGTACATATATATCATGCTTGGTGTTTACCTGGCCGGGTCAATTAAAGAGCAGCCAATTCAACAACAAATCGACCCAAGGTTGTTATTAAAGAAAAATGTTAGTAATATCATGAATTATAATGAAATAATTCATGTGATATAAATTTTAAAAATTTTTTATATGATACCTAAATTATAAATTTTTAGTTAGATATATGAACTATAAATCCATTAATTAAGTTGTAACATAATTAATTTTAAATGATAACACAAGACAAATAAAATCTCAAAATATTATATTTATTAATAAATTTATAATTCAAATATTACATTAAAAATTTTTAAAAGTTAAATAATAAATTGAATATTTAACTATAATTTAGAAACTATTAATGACACTAACCCTAAAGAAAATGAACCTTTCTATTTGAATAAAAATGTGAGAGAAAATACAGGATCCAACAAATTACAACTTTCTAGACCATCAAAATGATTGAGATAAGCGTAATCCAACAAAAACTCATAACTAGGTAACTGGGGAAAAAATATGCAAATGGCAGCTGGGTGTGGAAGGATGTGACTGAAAATTACAAACTCTTGAATCTATCAAGTCCTAACCTCAACAATCACCAAAATAACACAGATAATTCTAAATGTTTTTTAGAGCCTCCTTGATACAGTGTAACATGATTAGCTACCAAAGGCAACTTCTGTGAAATCAAAATGATGAATCCAGATATCATCCTGTTACATGCCAAAGTCTTTACCAGTTGGCAGACGAAGATCACTGGTTGGATCTTTTAATCAATCTTGACGGATGAGAAAAGATAATGGACAAAATAGAATGATGTGCTGAAGCCAATGGTGCCCGTAGACAACATGATTGCAATTGCCATGATCATTGAGTAGCCAAGATAAAGAATAGCTGACACAGGACCACTCAAACTCTGTAAGTCAAAGACTAAGTAATTGATGGAGTATAGGAACACATAGAGTGCAACTGAACCCGAAGCAAAGAAAGCCTTCCACCACCATCGCCAGTCCTCGACACAGAGATGCATGTAGGTAAGGACCACTGAGACTTCAGCACAAACAATGACCAGTAGCAGAAGAACAATAAGCAAGAAGCCAAACACATAATAAAACCTGCCAAGCCAGATGCTAGAAAGGATGAAGAAGAGTTCAATGAAAAGGGTTCCAAAAGGAAGGGTCCCAGCACCAAGAACAAGAAGCCATGATGGATATTTGCGTGCAGGAATCTCCCTAGGAATCTGGTTGGTTCGGACAGGATATTGAATAGCTTCAGCTCTGGTCCCTAAGAATCCTCCCATGAGAGTGAGAGGCACAGAAATGCAGAACCAGAGAGACAAGAGTACAAAATACAGGGAAATGGGAATTGCACCAGTACTTTTGCTGCCCCACAGAATAAAATTCAATACTGTAAGGATAACAAAGACAATTCCAGGAAAGAAGCACGCAACCGACCAGGAAATGGACCTCCATCCTTCTGAAGTTCCCTTGAGAGTTCTCCAGAGACGTACAGCAACATAGCCAGCAGCAATACCCAAGAAAAGGTAAAGAATAATCATCCCTGTCAATAGCATTCCTCGTGAAGCTGGTGACATGAAGCCAAAGGCAGCAAAAACTATAGTGACAGCTGCCATTCCTGTAATCTGAACTCCATCTCCAATCATCACACAGAGAAGCTTCGGACAATCAGGTTCTCTGAAAACATCACCTACAACAAGCTTCCATCCAGAAAGCTCCTCATTCATTTGTGCTTGAGCTTCTTTGTCCAGTTCTTCATACCTTGTCAAATCCCTCCTCACAGTCCTCAAGAAAATGACAAACACAATACCAGCTAGGAAAGTGATCACCATTAGTGAATTTAGAATTGAGAACCAATGCACACGTGCACCTTCCATCTTCAAATAAGCATCCCACCGTGACGGCCATCTAATATCACTTTTCACAAATTCAACCTCATAAGTAAAAGAGATCCTCTCTTGTTCCCTTATTATCTGTGACTTGTCTAGCTCCAAGGGGCAGTTCACAGGGGAGAACTTGTCATACATGTGAAGTTTAGTCATGACTTCAGGATCATATTTAACACTGCATGGAATCACCTCAAAACCAACAATCTCAAAACCAGAGGCCTTCTTCTTATCAGCTTCAGAAATCACACCCAGCCCTTCTTCCCCAGTTCCAATTATCTCCACACCACTCCCCTCATACTCATGAACCAAGACTTTGAACTTGAGATGATTGATAATGTAATCATCATTACTATTCGGTGGAGTATACCCAACTGGGAATCCAGTCCACTGAATGTTAATCCCATTTTGCTTTGCAATCCTCATCACCGGCAAATTGTCTAGAATCATATTCACTTGATACAAATCACGAGTCCTCTGTTTCAAAAGCTTAACCTCATGCTCATTCAAGGGGTTGGTAGTGCAAAGGTAGAGAGACTCATTCACATTCATTTGAAACCGATAAGGAGAGTTATCAATCTGATCTCCCATGAGAAGTTCACCAAGATTCTCGGCACTTTTCTTTATTCCACCGAGCGGTTTGCAGTAAGGGAGACTGTAATAACTAAAAGGAAGCTCGGTTTCAATGGAAGTCAAGGAATTAACTTTGGCAAATATAGATTCCGAAGTCGAATACGTGTGCATGTAGCTCCCAGGCAGATAAAACCCATGACAAGAATGGGCAAACAGAACCACCAACAGAAAACCACAGCAGATTCCGGGCATCTTCCTTTCTGAGAAAACCATGACTATGGCAGATCTTGAAAAATACGGCTTGAATCTAAGCTGCTTTAAACTGAAGCATTCAATATAAAAAAAAATCTACACGAAACAGATTTTCAACATTCAGTTTCATACAAATTTATCACTAAGATAACGTTAATTAAAATAATAAAAAAAAAAGAAAACCAAGAAGAAGAAAACCCAGATGCCTAAGTACAAAATGATTCCATTGCATCAACTTTAAAGGCAGTAGATCACATTCAAAAATGCAAAAATTCATCAAAAAATAAAAAAAGAAAGAAAGAGAATTTTCAACAAAAACTACTCAAAAAAACTTATTCGTAATAATATAAATTCACAAAAACAGATCAGAGTACGGAAAGAATTGGCAGGCAGTTTAGATCTGAAACCAAAAACCAATAAAAGTAAAAGGCTGAAAAACAAGAACATAATATTGGAGGAAGAACCTGAAACAGATCTAGGGGATTTGAAGTTGGTATTTGAATTCAAACTGATCGCCTCTTGGATCCTGTGACGCCACAGAAAACGCGTGAGAACGAAGCAAAGTCCCTTGGCTTTTGCTCCTTTTTGTCTTTTTTTTTTCTAATGGTATCAGCTGTCAGCATTCAGGAATTTTGCGAATGTTTGAAGATATTAAAACATAGGTTGGGTTTATTATATATAGGGAGAGAAATGGAAGAACATGGAAACAAATGGAAATGTTGTGAAATGAAATTTGGGTCGAGTGATTCCTTTAATTTTCAGCAATTCCACCGTAACCCCGGTTAAATCTGCGTGGTTAAGTTGCGTTTGCCCTTTTTCTTTACGGAGTGTATGTGTGGATCTACTAATAATATTAACACTTGGCCTTCGAATCAGATTGTATCTTATTGAATTGAAATTAATATTTAATTTTTTTTAGTGAAAATATATTTTTTTATAAAATAAATTTGATATCTTTTAATTTATATAAATATATAAAATTTTAAATTTAAAAAAAAAATCGAATGTGAATGATATAATTTCTTGACATGTGTACAATTTTAAATAAATATAATATATATTACAATCAATTATTTTGAATTGATTTATTTTTTTAAATAATTTAGATAAAAATTTATATTTATTTCCTTTACTTTGTTAATTTACTTACCTTTTTGCGTTATGTGAATTTTATTTTAGTTGACAATGCTTTTTATGTTATGTAATTATCATTATAATCATCTTTCTAGTATTGAAAAATGTAGCTAGAGGTGTGAGTGAAATACAAGATATGGATTTACATTAGATTCACATTTTTTTTTATTTTTTCAACTTAAATCAATACACATAATTTTACAACCCAAAATATATAATTAAAATTCTTTATCATTATTTCTTTTTGGTTTTGATAATTTCTTAGTTCTAATTTTTATATTTTAGTTCATACAATTGTACAAAAATCTATTACCAAATGCAAACCAGTGTTAAAACATTCATTTGACAAAATTAATTACATTAATTTTCTTTTAAATATCTATTTATCTTACATTTTTTTACTATTTATTTTTAAAAAAATATTAAATGTATAATTGAAATCAATTTATTCTAAAATCATGATAATTGATCGAAAATACCACTCTTACCTTTTTAAATATTAACTCCTTTGCAAACCAATTTTAAATTTTTTATTTAATTTAAAATATTTTTTTCTTTTCCAATAATTTCTCATTAAATGTTATGATTCAGTTTCTTTATCATTTTGTTCATTATTTAAATTATAAAATTTTGGGCTTATGAATTGACTCAGAGTACATTTTTTATAACTTTTACAATTATTACCGGATTAATCAAAAGTTTTTATTACCATTTTACATTTTTTGTATTCTATTTTCGTTTTTCTTTTCATATCAATTTATTAACCTTTTCTACTAAATAGTTATATAATATATTTTATTAGCTTATATTAATTAACTTAACTTTTTACATACCATCCACCAATTTATTTGCTTTTTTCTAATATTATATGAATGTGAAATTTTGTAGAATATTTTAAAAAATTATATTTTAAACCAATATTTTATATGAATTTATGTATTCTAGATAGGTTATATATTTTAAAAAGAAAAAATAAATGTGTCAAGAATATTTATTTCATTTAAAATAAAAAAATCTATTTATATGTATATTTTAATTTTTTATTTTTATATAAAATTATTAATTATATTATAATTAAATTATATATATAATTATTGCCCGTGCATTTCACGGGCTTAAAACTAGTAAGAAAGAATAACCATTATTGATTATAATAAATTATGAGCATACAAATTCCAATTAATTAACATCAAATAAAAAACAAGTTCTTGAATTTTATTATTTTATTTAGATAATTTTTATACTTTATTGCATTCAAATAAACTCTTAAACATTAATTTGCACCCAAATAAGTTCTTAACCTATAATTTGCATCAAAATAAACCATTAACCTTTAGTTTATGCTTAAATAAATCCTTAACATTAATCAAATTTTCATTTGAAATAAA